CATGAGGCACTTCCGGACACAATCCAAAGGCAACAAACCAAAACAATGCTATTTTGCCAAATAGGGCACAGTCATTGGCAAGAATCAAGCGCTACATTCCACACTCTTGCCTTCACAGTGGGCAATTGGAGTATGGTGGCCAGGCAGGCGACGCCATGATTATCTTCCGAGGCGTTTGTATAAACAGTCCTGCGTCTGCTACTATTTCAGCGACAACACTCTTTTTTCGCATTGCCTCTATACTCGCCCTTATACCCTTCCTTTCTTTCCTTCTACTCGCATTCGCTTTCCTTTTCTTCTTTCGTTTACGCTGGTTTACACTTTGAAAGATTGTCAATTTACACTATGACTCGCCTTTTTGTTTCTCTTGCTGCCTTAGCCCTTGCTACTGTTGCTAGCGCTCAGCAGCTCCCACCTGGATTCTCGCCCGACATCATTAACCAGCTCCCTGTGCCTCCCCAGCAGGCACCCGCCCCTACTCAGGCGCCCGCTCCTATTGACCCCAATAACCCCATTCCACAGCCTCTGCCACTGCCCCCGGCATCGGCACCTCAACCAGCATCGATCCCCGCCGGCCTTGAGGGCTTGCTCAGCACGGCTGTTCCCTCGCCTTCGCAGCCCATGCTCCCCAGCATCACACTGCCCTCTCTTGTTGCTAGCACTAGCTCTGCCAGCACTAGCAGAGCCTCCTCTCTGTCGGCCAAGCCCTCGAGCAGCGGCAGCAGCTCTACTAGCGATTCGTCGCATCTCTTTAGCACGAGGAGCTCGTCCTCGTCTACTGACACGGACTCGGTTAGCGAGATTTCTGGCTCGGATTCTGACTCTGAGAGCTCTGGCGACTCTTCGTCCAGCGGAGCAACCTCCTCCGGTCTCTCAGGGACTGCTTTGGTTGCCGTGGTCGTGGCCTTTGCTGCTGGATCGCTTTTCTAAAAGTAACGACCAGCTAGTCAATTTCTTTTTTCTTTGGTGCTTTAGCATTTGAGAATATATCTATACGCACAAATAGCTCTTTAGCATGTTGCTAAAATAGGCTCACCAATAGACATAATAAATTGTCTATTGCTTGCACTTTTTTCCTCTTGTGTCTGTCACTAAATATCTTATGTTTTAGCAATACTACCTACCTATCACGTTCTACTCAACTGCGAGACATGCAGAGCAGAGCGACAACCTGCCGTCGCTGGAGCAAGTACTGACGCAGCAGTCTCAAGTACCACTTGCACTGCGTGACTTTGCGGTACATTGCTCCATTCGACAGCCACAGGCAAGGCAGTGGCTAGAGTTTTACATGGCAGCTCGTACGCATGAGAAAACGTGCCTTGCTTACGAGTCTAGTAGGCACTGCCACTATTCCAGCTCTAACTCTGTCACTACACACGACCTGACAGCCTTGCGGTCTATGACAATGCAAATTCAAAATGCCGCCGAGACAATCTACCTACAGAGCTTTTGCGCAACATGGGAGCTAAACTTGATACGTATTGGCGAATTTGGCGGCCATTCTAGCTGTATGCTAAGCGATCTCGAGCTTTCGCAATTCTACCACGCCAAGGAGTTGGGTAGTTTTTTGATACTGGGTGTGTCCCCTGACTATATGCTATAACCATCAGAGATTCTTGCTGACATTGAGCAGCGCCTATTGCATGGTGGTGCAGTATTTGGCCCAACTTTGTTCTCCAAGGCACAATGTCATGCTTATGGCGTGCTAAAAGAGTACTATTACCCTGCTTTCATCGCTGACGCTATCTTATGCAACATCACTCGTGGCCACTGCGTTTGGCGCGGCTGTTTAGCATTTGTCTTTCTGTGGGTAGGATTTGCCTTCTCACTTGCATTTATCCTTCTCGACAGCGTACCCGACCAAGCATGTATGGTCAGCGTTGCCTTTATTTCTTGGCTGGTGGAATCCTGCGGTGGGACTAAGTGGCTGTGATTTGTTCCTTTCTGCTATGCAAGAATATCAGTCCCCCGACTTGAGAAAGTTCGTTTGTAGTACCCAGCAATTGGGCGTAAAGCAAGGGTGGGCTGTGAAATCCCTAATCGTCAATTGGTACAGAACGTGGCTAACTACCCACTCATCCGTCAAAGTAGTGACCACTAGATTAGTTTACGCCAAAAGTATTAGCTAGTTTTCTGGAGCCTTTTTAATGACTGCACTTTGTGTTGCTATCATGAGCACCGTTCCCAGAGCACCAATTAATATACATTGAAAGCCTAGGACACATTGAATTTTATAAAATTCCCTATTATTCCTAGTTGTATGCAGTAAACGAGTCGGGGATTCTAAGGATTAACGCAACTAAAAATTGCAACTTTTGCTACAACTCTAGCCTTTGCAAATGACCATGCATTTTTTTAAAACTCGGGCTACAAAAATGGAGAAATGCAAACCCCCAAAATCTGGGCAGCATTGAACTTGAAGCATATAGAAGCTGCCCACACCATTTATCTCAGCGATTTTGTGTTTTTCTTTGCTCAAAGAGAGCCTGCAGCCAAGTCACAGTAGCCCTTGAAAAGAACACCCCCTTTTTGTAGCAAACCATAGGTGCTGCCATCCTATGTCCCTTTAGCGCTACATGGAATTTCGGAAAGCTTGCGCTTTTGCTTGTATCACTTGTGTTAACAGCAAACGCGCTAACGACACTAATCAATCAAGGAATCGGAGCAACATAGTGAATGGAACATCCTTTCGGAACGCGGAAATCGTTGGGTACAAAGAGCAGCTTTGCACGGCAACAACGACAACAAGGAATAGCTCTGTTAGATAGTACTGTGCGGGTTTAGACTAGACCCTATATATAAATATCTTCATAAATGAGCTAAAATAACTGAAGAGATCTCATACCACTAGTGCCTCGTAACGCCGTATTTAAACAGCGCCGCCGTAGTCACTTGTAATCATAATCGCAAGATTATGATCATGGGCTTGTAATCGCGATCTGGCCGACTATACTCGCTGTTATCCAACACCTGGCAACATTCCTTACTTATTGCTAATGGAAATAGTAATAACATACCTTTTTTCATCACCCTCAATGCAAGAGTCGTCAATGTTAAGGTCCACTGTTACTTTTTCAAGGAGAGCAGGATCGTAATTAATGCCAAATGCATAGCAATCAGTTCTCATTTCGATGCTTGTGACAAGGCCTGGTATAAGTGCATCAAAAATTGGCTTCAGTTTTTTCACTGCATCTTCTAGCGTAGCATACGAGAGAGAAAGATGGGGTATAACAAAGCTGCTCATTTTATTTTTCTTGGTTTTTTGAGAGACACTGATGTGTGCCGTTAAAGATGGAATGTAATAGTAGGTGTTGGATGAAGAGAAGAATTGCAAGGAAGGTGGATGCTTCTCCAGCACTCTTTTTATAAGGCTGAGTTGACCAAGAGAATAAAGAAAAAAACGAGGGCAGAGAAAAGTCAAACACCCAATGGCATTTCAGCATACCCAATGTTGGATAGTACTATGCGGGATTAGAATAAACCCTAAGTATATAATTATCCTAAAAATGCGAGCTCAAATAACTCCAGAGATCTCGCACCACTAATGACCCGTAGCGCCATATTTAAACAGCGCCGCCATAGTCACTTGTAATCATAATCGCAAGATTATGATCATGGACTCGTAATCGCGATCTGGCCGACTATACTCGCTGCTATCCAACACCCAACAAGCAACTTAGCGGAAAAGAAAGAGAAATACAGAAATATATTGGCTTTTAAAATGATGATTTCAGTTTAGAACACGTTGCTAAAGAAGCCAATTGTGCAAGCTTGCTCATGGTGGCCCTCTTCGCCTTTAGCAAAAGTCCCCACCCATGTGGCATAAGTGCTTAGTAAAAAGAAAGTAAAAGCAGGCTTTTTGTAACTGATAATAAAGAAAACAAGGACTTGGCAATGCCTCTTCCGATTGCAGGCTGCACAAGGAAACCCCAATCTTTTTAGCTTGCAAACGCTTGCCACAGGCTCAAATCTCAGCGAAGCTATTGCAAAACGACTACGTTTTGTTGTGACAGTAGGGTTTTAAGCCTGTAATTCCCTTGGCACTTTTATTCTGCATTGCACTACGCCCTTTGTGGTTTCTTTTACTTGGCTAGATGGCCAGCTGAATTGTGGATAGTCAGCGTTGCCTTGGCACAGAATGGTTATGTTGGATAGCAGTGAGTATAGTCAGCCAGATCGCGATTACGAGCCCATAATCATAATCTTGCGATTATGATTACAAGTGACTACGGCGGCGCTGTTTAAATACGGCGCTACGAGGCACTAGTGGTGTGAGATCTGTTGAGTTATTTGAGCTCATTTATGAAGATATTTATATATAGGGTCTAGTCTAAACCCGCACAGTACTATCTAACAGGTTGAGTGGTGATTCTGGGTATAGTGATATGTTTATCGACAAAGAAACAACACACTTCCTTGCCTTGAGCATTATTGTCGCTCCATGGAAGTTAGCACTATAATGCCTGAAAATTGGCTTGAGATTAGATGCTAATTAAGTGTCAAAAAAGCATGTAAAAAAGTATAGGGAACTCATATTAGGATAAATAGTTGTTTGTGAACCTGTGACGTCAAAATAAACAGGTTGCGTCACATGACTGCCAGCCTATTGCGGCACGCGTAATCGTGACGGTGGACATGTACTACACTTGCTGACGGAAGGTTAGGGATACCACATGTTGACTTCGTCACGAAAAAGATATCCACCGTACTGTTGCTAAACAGGAATAGGATTTGGGGAGTTTTCACTAATATGAATCTCAACACATAAATCTATTTACTAGCTTTATTCTTTATTACAGAACCACAGCTCCAATAGACAAAAGTTACATGCCTTGTCTTCACAAACTCCGAATAGGCCAAGAGATAACTGACTCTATCTATTAGATAATTTATTGTTTTCTTTCGCAATATCAAAAATATAGCACCTTTGTTGTGCCAAAAAATAGACAAAAATTCCTTGACAGCCAACAAGATAATCATGTCGCGCAGCAAAATAAAACTGATCAGAGTGGGACTCGAACCCACGCCCCGAAGGACCAGTGCCTAAAACTGGCGCCTTAACCGCTCGGCCATCTGACCATTTGTTCTGGACTAGCCGTCCGATTCTTTCACTTTTAATGACAAGATAATTGATTATATAAAAATAGTATCTAATTAGGCTAGCGGTGTATCTCCTGGTGGATAGCCTAAGCGGGTTGGTGGTTTAGCTCAATGTTTGGGGCTGAGGAGGGAGAGCCACCAGCTCCCCGGTGTACTATGAATCCGTCAATACACCGTGAAGTCCTGGGTTCGGATCCAGGTGGGTACAAATCAAACATACCAAGCAATAATCGCAATTTCTCAA